GAAGGAAGGAAGGAAGGAAGGAAGGAAGGAAGGAAGGAAGGAAGGAAGGAAGGAAGGAAGGAAGGAAGGAAGGAAGGAAGGTCTACTGAAAAATCTTATAAAAATTGTAAGAAGTTGTGTTGTTCTTATTGAAATAGATATTTTCCTAAATATGAGAAGATTTGCCATTTGTGCTTTGTTGTACCAAAAAAGGCTGAAAATCAAAACCAGGTGTCCTCTGTTATACTGTCATGTTAAAAATAAGGATGTGTCTGTGTTCACATGGTAGTGTAGTCCAATTAAAAAAGTATCTCACCTGTGAAGGACACTTTTGCTTCATTTGGAGAACAAATGAAGTATCAATATTTGTTTAAGAAGTGCTTCCAACAAGTGCTTATAGCTGAGCTTAACTCTGTGCATGACTTAAGAGTGCACTGAAAACATTGAACGTTTGCTGAACGAGGGCCTAAGTCAATAATTCACTTCAGCCAAATCTATACTACAGATTTTCTTTTGCCATAACTTTTAGGAGGTTATGAGATTAATATTTGCTTAAGCGGGGTGACTATAAATAGCAACCTCTCTTCATGCTGCCAGAAATTATAAAAGGAAGATCCTTTTGCCAGAAGAGTTTAGGTCCTCCAGGAGAGTTACTGCCAATAGAAGAGTTCTATTTTCTATTATCAACTGAGTCTCTACCAGGGTTTTGCTACTAAAATCTACCAGCAAAGTATTTTAGGGAATACACTAATTGGGGTTCTATTTATTTTTATTTATGACTGATAGCTTGTTTGTTTCTCTATGTTTTTCCATCATTATTTTGTGTGTTTCAGAGAGTTGCTATATTGCAACCAGTGCTCTGAAGTTGTCACAACACCAGTTCTGAAAATGCAGCTGGAAGTCTTCTTGAGCTGTCCATCCCGATCTCAAAGTACAGTAAAAGTGAAGGTATGGCTTGAAAAAAGGGCTGGTGTGTCAGGTGCAGTGAGACCAGATGTGCAGACACATAGGTATCCTAAACCACACTTCTGTGAACAGTTCTGTCGGAAGACAAATTAAAATATGCAAGACTGTCCCATAATTTAATCTAATACTAAATTTGTGTTTTGTTGGACTAAGAACCCAGTTCCCAGGTCTTGCTCAAATAATGCAGTCATTGAGTTCACCCTCAGTGAGGTTTGCAAATGGTTTTATGGCCCAGATGAAGGGATTTGTTAGGCTGGGCCTTTGGAAACCTCAGTCTACACAGTCTAAAAGGAATGTGTATTTTAGACTTCCATTCTGAACATCTTTGTGTCACCTCTCCTCTGCTTTCTTGGCCAGAGAAACAAAACTGTTTGATATTAAAATGATAAATGTTTATTCTATGTGACTGCAAACAGAATGTTTTTGCACATGTGAGATTTTTGCCATGAACAAAACCTGTGAATTTTCTCCTTCCAGCTGTTGCAAAAGACAATCTCCTCTCTCCTGATGTCCTCTGCCAGTAAGGATGGGGTAGGTATAATGAATGCTGACCAAAGGAAGTTAAACTACAGAACTTAATGCAAAGGCAGAGTACCACTGTCAGGTATGGCAGGTCAGCCATGACTTGTGGTGGCAGGGTCTTGAAAATCTCCAGTGGTGGAGATTCTGACTTTCCAGGCAGTTCACTTCAGAACTGCACTAGGAGTGGTAGGAGATTTCACTACAAGTGAAATTATTTTTTTCCCCATGTCCAGGCTGTGACTTTGTGGGCTGTGCCCTTTGGCAGTCCCACCTTCCAGCTGCTGATGCCCTGCCATCTCATCAGACTCACACCCTCCTTTTCAGAAGGGGATGCAGCAGATGGGCTGTGTGGCTTCAGCTCAGCTGTGGATCTGCAGAGCAGCTTGCAAACAGCACTCAGAGCTGCCACAGGCAGTGCTGGGCTTGACCCTGTTCTCTGATCCAAAGACAGCAAAGATACCCCCCAAGCATCCCACCTTTTGGATCTGGTCTTCTAAATCCCATAAACCACAGCCACTTTGTACCAGCACAACACTGAGAGTACTGGCAGGTGGAAATAGGAGAAGAATTTGCAAAATGCATCCATTATTGATAGTTGTATGAATGAAGCACACATGAGCCACGGAGATCCATGGGCTAAAGTACAGTTTATGTAATCGCCAAGTATTTACTCCTTTAATCTGAGCTATCAGAAGAACCCTGACACTTGGCACAGTGACCCAGATTTGCCATGGGTGAGGGAGGCACCCAGGTAGGTGCCTGGCTGGCATTGGCTGCTGGATGCTCTGCAGCCTTCACAAAGTCATTAAGTCCAATTAGGATTCCAAGATTTTCCCTCTCCCTTGCACGTGAACGGGAGCAAAGGTCGGTTTGTTGTCTTGTTTAATCATCCCAGTTAAATATCTTCAGTTGGGTGATATGCACTGGGGTCAGTTTGCTTTCCCTGTCTTACAAGTTTTCCAGCATTTTCCTATTACATGTTCCATGCTTTTAGTGGGATGTGTGGGTAATATTTAAAGTGGAAAGTTACTCTGAAATAATAAATTACTTTTCTTATGCTGATGGAGGGTGTATATTTCATTTAAGCAAATAGATACAAGAAATTTCCTAAATGTGTTTACTCCTTTAATAGCAGTTAAGTCTTGCTGAGTTTTACAGGATGTGTCTGGTTTGGTTACAGACTGGCAAAACATAATTCTTTTTCGAGTTATTAGAATTCAAACAATCTCTTTTTCACATTTCAGTGTATATTCAGCCAGTATTTAAAGGTCTGGCAACTCAGATTTTTTTTCTTCCCCAGCTGAAACACAGGGATAAAGATTAGTCACAAGAAATACCACTTGAGGTGGCATTTCTTTGCCAGAGCCGCAAAAGTTTCTAAGGGTGCAGCTTTGCAATCAATTCTTTTGGCAGGGAGGTTGGTTTTAGCCGTCACTGGCCCTGGCTACCTGTTCTTCTCCTTGTGGCAGCCCTTCTGCTGCACCAGGAGAGTTGTTTGTGCAGCTGCACTGCAAACTGGACTGCAGAACCGGTCTGGGGGAAAAATAATCCAGGAAAAAAAATAAAAAAAAGATTGTTTATACCTTGAACCAGGCAACACCATGGGTATCACATACCTGTACAGAAGCACAGTGCAGATGAAGGAGGGGCACAGTTGTCATAGGCAAGGCCTGTTAGGGTCAGAAATGGATGTGAACCTGAGACACCCTCTCAAGTGAAATATCTGCTGTGAGTGTTACGAGGTCTTGTGTTAACGTGCTGCTGCTCTTGGTGCAGCCGTGCCAGCCTTGCATCCCTCTCCTCCACACAGAGCACAGCCTCTGCAAATTCACTCAGGCACAACTCGTGGGTGAAATTGGTTGGATCATTAAACACGAGGGACTGTGTTGGTGCTGCTGGTGGTAATGCATGAACAGCAAAAAGTTAAAAGGGGGGAGAGGAAGGAGAGTAAGAAGGGTTACAAAATGTTTTTTTTTCCTTTAGTGGGTAAGTTAGCTCAGCTAATCAATGTATGTAGACATTGCCAGCAGGCATGAAGTCCTGCAAGTGTCAGAAAGGAAGGTAAAGGGAACATGTATAGGTTATGCTTAGCAAAACTGAGTTCAAAGTCACAGTAACTTTTTTCTTTTTGAAACAGCTCATTTTTAAAGCCTGCTAGGGCAGCAACTGAGACAGGAGTGTGATCTAATTACTGAAAATCTAATATATTCATTCTTTCCATTAGTTCTAATGCACTTTCCGAGTCCTTTAAAAAAATTGTCAGTTGGAAGAGGATCCTGCATGCTGCATCTTCCCAGCTGAATGCTGCCTAGAACAGAACGTCCAGCACTGTTTGTTTTACTCACCATGCTTTTATTCCTGCAGACTTACGAGGTGCAGAGCGTGCTGGGAAAGGAGGTGGGGTTATTGCACTGCTACGTCCTCTCCATAATCAGCCACCCCAACTGCGTTGTGCTGGAGGAAATTGTTCTTCTGGAAGCTGCAGCAGCAAGAGAGAGTTGAACTCTAGTCAGCTATTATGGTATCTGTGGACTTTGTAATGTGATTATCTGTTAACTAGTGCCACAGATAATGTATAATGCAAGGGTGATAAGCATTAAGATAGTTTATTAAAACTGTGATTTATAAAGCACATTGTGCTAACACTGAAAAAAAGTCTATATATTGTTCAACTTTCTGAAGTCTTTATTTTCTGATCAGAGCAGAATCTAAGAATACAGTTCTTTGTCATGTTCGCTGTTATGTAACGTAAAACATCTTTTTCTGTAAGTTTTGAATCTGGTTGTGGTTTATTTTTAATAATACTGTATTTATTATGTGTCACTGGAAAAAATTTTACTGATATTTTTGAAATAAATACCTTGCTATGGCTTTTGGTTTAAGCTGAGTTTTATCAGTGAATCCCAGACCTGCTGCAGAACACTGCCGTGGTTTGTCAATTCTGAGTTAACACTTAGCAGTAGTTGTTATAAAGACAGATTTGAACACATATGAAGTTAATGTTTTACAGCTAATTGGTCTCTCAGCAGAGAAGTTGTGTGTTATCTGTAGCTTCCCACAAAGCAGGTGTTTCACTGCAGCTTCTTTTATGGGCAAGCAGCACACTGTGTTGTAGGCCACGCAACAACCCCCACCCAGGCTGTGGAGGCTACAGATCAGATAAATGCCAGAATCTCCCTCCGTGTGCGTTGCAAGAATTAATATTATAAGAATTAGAGACTGCATGGGGTTTTTTCCCCCTTACTCTTTCAGTGTTTAAATGCCCCTTACAGCTTAGAGGAGGTTTTAGTGCAGGTCCCGTGTGTGATTAACCAGCAGAGAAGGAGCAGCAAACTTGCCACACTGGTCATTTCTGCGGCTCAGGCCAATAGTGAAAAGGACGTCACAATTACTAAAGGAATGACCCAGCTTTTGAATTCCCCTTTTTTCACCACCTCCTCCAAGCATTTCATCCTCTTACCTGTCTCCCTGTAAGGAAAAAGGAGATGACAGCCCATTCCTGTAGAGGTCTCTATGTGAGACTGGGGTTGCCCCTTCAAAACCATTTAAGACCTGAATCTGAGAAAACTGGAGGTGCTTGTTGTGCCAGGCCATTTTCCTGCCAGTGCCCCAGAGATGCTGTAGATGCTCTAACACGGCACTACTGAAATTTAGACAAGTTGTCCGACCTTCTGTGATCTGTTCACTCTCTCAGCGACGAGCAGCAGCGTTGCCTTGCCGCTCTGTCACTAGCAGGGATCAGGGAAAGTCTTTGTGACCACTGGCTCCGTGACGAGCAGCAGTTGCCCACTCTCACTTTCACTAGCCAGGATCAGTGAAAGTGCCCAGCTCCTGCTGAAGCCTGAGGGTGCATGGACACCTCTCACCTCTGAGACTCACTGCAGAGGTGAGCTCTGCTCCCTGCTAGGGAACATGGTAGTGTAGGTGCAACTCTGCGTTATCTAGAATGGAAACCCCTCGGAAGTTTTTTTAACGGGAATTTTAACTAGTGGCATTCTTTTAATTATGTTCTTCTAGTCCTATGCACTTTTTCTTTATTTTTTTGAGATATAGAGTACGGTATTTCTGGCAGAGTCCTGCTCACAGAGCAGTCTGCGTTGATGTGCAGCTGCTCGGTCCCCCCAGCGCACGGCAAGCCCTGACTCAGCACTCGGGCTCAGGATGCGCTCCGGGGGGAGCCGGCCTCGCAGGCACCCCGCCGAGCGAGGAGGGGTCTCACGGCTGTTCCCACCCCTTCATCGCTCTCTGGATGCTTTGGGAAGTAACGCAGCGCCCCTCGCTTGCCCTCAGCCCCTCTCTCGGCCCCTGGGACCCCCTCTCCGTGTCCCCGCCCGCGTTCAGCCCCCTCCCGGGCAGCACAGCTTTCCCCGCCGCCAGCCCCTTGTGTCACGACACAGAGCAAACGAGAGCAGGGTGGATTTAAAATGCTTTTCTTTATTCTTAGAAATGCTGTAAAAATTGATATAAAAGGTTGGGCATGCTCAGTCTTTTTTTTTTTTCCATCCTACTGTCTAAAATACATGGGATTTTGAATCACTTTAACAGATGTACCATAGCTGCATCGGTATGAGTAAAATGTAGAAAAGACGAAAACTACCATTACAAAAATAATTTAAGGGGAGAGAAGAAAAAAAAAAATATATTTAGCTTTTTTTCCCTTTTTCGCAAGTTTCGTGGTGAAAGACCCAGGCATCGCTCCACGTCGCTGCCGCATCCCGAGCGCGGCCGCGGGCCGGCAGGTCCCGCCGCGGCTCCGCGCCTCCTGCCGCGGCCCGGCCCGGCACGGCACGGCCCGGCACGGCGGGGCTCGGCCCGGCCCTCTGAGGTATTTATCCACCGTCTCCCGGAGTCCGTCTCTCCGTCCCGCTCCCCCCCGGTTACCGGCAGTCGGTGCCCGAGCCGGGCTGCAGGAAAGAAGCGCTGGGCAGCTGCTTGAAGAAGTGCCGGAGGCTGGTCAAGTCCCGGGTGAGCTGCTCGATCTTCTTGTGCAGCTTCTCGTTCTCGGCCGAAAGCTCCAGCAGCTTCTGCTGCATCTCCTGGTTGCGCCGCTTCGCCTTGTCGCGGCTCTTGCGCACGGCGATGTTGTTGCGCTCCCGGCGCTGCCGGTACTCGGGGCTAAACCTGTCCACGCACTTCTTGCCGCCGCGCTCCTTGCCCCCGCCGGCGGCAGCGGCGGCAATGGGCTGCGGGACGCCCTGCGCCGGCCCGGGCACGGCGGCGGCGGCCCCGGGGCCCGGCGAGCGGGTGCTGCAGCTGGAGGGGGAGCTGCTGCCCGGAGGCTCGGGGGACGTGGGCGGCGTGGGCTGCCCGCTCAGGTTCATGATGGTCTGCGCGCAGGTGGCGATCTGCGAGGGCAGCAGCGAGGAGGAGAGGTCGCTGTCGCTCCAGTCCGGCTCCTGCTTCAGAGCGCCGCGGGAGGAGAAGGAGGAGGAGGAGGAGGAGGAGGAGGAGGAGGAGGCGGTGCGGGGCTCGGAGCCCAGCAGGGTGGTCATGGCAGCGCCGAGGTCCTTGGCGGGGTCGCGGCCGGCGCCGCCGCCCGGTGGCAAGTACTCGCCGTATTCCCCGCCCCGCTCGGGCTTGTGGTTGCTGTTGAAGAGGTCGGCGAAGAGCTCGTCGTTGCAGAGCTCCAGGTTGGGCACGGCGGACATGGAGTCAATGTAGGAGCTGAAGTCGATGGCGCTCTCGTCCTCGTACATGGCCGGGGCGGCGGCGCTCAGCTCCGCCAGGTTGGTGCCGCTGCCGCCCAGGCCGCCCCCCGCCTCCTCGCCGCTCATCCCGCAGCCGCCGCGGGCGCCCGGCTTGCAGGCGGGACCCGGCCCGCCGCCGCTGCCCACCTTGGCGTCGTAGAAGTTGGCGGGCTCCAGGCACCAGCTCTTATAGCATGCCGGGGAGTCCAGGCTGTAGAGAGCGGCGGCGCTCATGGGCGAGCGGGACGCGGCGCCGCACGGCCGCGGCGCGGGGGCTCCGGGGCGCGGGCACCAAACGCGGCTCCTCCGCCACGGGCGCAGCTCCAGCCTCTGGCACGGGCAGGTGGGAGCGGGGCTGCTCCTGCTGCTGCTGCCGCTGCTCACACCGCTGCCGCTGCTGCTCGGTGGCACCGGCGCTGCCGCTGCTGCCCCGCCGCCGCCTCCCCGAGGGGGCCGATCCGGGCTCGGGTCACGCCGTGAGCGGCGGTAGGAGGCGGGGATGGGACAAGGCGGCTCAGGACCTGGGAGTGAAACGCCCGCTCGGTCCCTTCTTATACGGCGCGGGCCCCGCCTCCTGCCCCAATGACGGGGAGCGATGTTCCCGGCACCCCCGGGGACCCGGGGGCGGGAGCGGGTGGGGTGCGTGGCCGCGGAGGCCGGGCTGCCGCCGCAGCGAGCTGCCACCTCCCGGCCGACGGTGGCCGCGGTCCGAGCTGCCCCAACGCGGGCACGGGACGGTGCGGGCGCCTTTCGGGCGTCTGCCGCCCTCTCCGCACCGTCCCGTCCGGGAGAGCGCTGCCCCGACGCCGGTACCGGCACCCCCCATTCCCCCGGCTGAGCGTTGGTTTTCCCTTTCCCGCGGACCGGCGGAAAAGCTGCCTGAAAAAGCCGATTTTACCCCAGCAGCACCACGCTGCATCCCCCACGCGCTTCCCGGCGGCGCCAGGACGGAGCGATACCGGAGGATGCTGCCGGCCCCACGCGTGTCCGTGCGCATCACCCGAGCGCCCTCCCGAGGCTCAGCTCCCTCCGCTGGAGCGCGGGCAGCTTCCCCCGAGCAGGATGCAAATCCCCGCTCCGGGGAGAGGAGGGACACCCGGGCTTCTTCTGGCGGGACCCTCTGGTGGGACAGGGGTCTCTGAGGCATCTTTAGCTGCCTCACACCGTCTGCATGAAGTTATGCCTCTTAAAACCTTACATTAAGTTATTGTGCATGTTGTTGTCCCCTGCCCCCCCTCACATCCCACAAACTACTACTATTAAATTGGCAAGTACCAGAAAACTGAAAATACTTGCAGCTAAAAGATAAGTTTTCTAGTTACATAATAGTTTCTAAAACCCTGGTTCTACCCCCAGTGCTAATAATAACTGAATTGTTAAAGAAACACGCAACAAAACGCCCTAAAATTTACTTTTTTAAAATTTTTAAAATGATTTTTTATTTATTTAACTTCCAGAAGACCCTTCTATATTTAAGACAGGACTGTCCCAGGCGCCGTGTCCAGCCCAGCGCCCAGCTGACGCTGCTGGCACGGAGCTGTGCCCGGCGGCCGCGGTGCCGCTGGCCCCGAGGTGGCTTCAGGAGCGCCCGTGGGGACGTGCCGGCCATGCCGGGCCCGCTGCCCCTCTCCGGGCACGGCTCCATCGCCGCCACCGCAGCTGTTGCAGGACCGCAGCTGTTTATCACAGGGGTGTGTGTTCGAACATAAGTAGCTGGGAACAAGACTGGTACATGCTCTCCCTTGGATGTAAACTCCACGTGGGAAGGCTTGTGGGATCAGGGTAAGGCTGCAGTGCCTGGCAGGTGGGGTTTTACATCTGGCAGCTAAGGTTTCGCTTGCAGAGGCTTTGCTTTTAACTCTAGTGCTGCCAGATGTATTGTGTTTAAATAACCTTCTTCTCCTTTTTCATCAGAGGTTAGTGATCACACAACCTCCATCTACACCAGCATTAACCACTGAACTTAACAGTGACACAAGAAATAGTTGCTTTTTTTTTTCCCCATTGTCAAAGAAATAATATGCCCCAAACCATTTAACATATTATTTTTTGCCTTCTGTATACCCCAGACCTTCCCTGGGGTCTGTTCATGAGGGACAATTCGGCGCCAGCTGTCCCTGGCCTGGCTATCCAGCAGGGAACGTGGTGCTCCAGGACCCTTTAACTCTGTATGAAATGCAGAGGAGTGCGTTTGTGAGGCATGGGAAGGTAGTTAGAAAGGAGATGCAGTCTGATATCTGCTGTCTCTCCCCTTGCTCTGCTGGAAGGGGTGAGATCTCACCCACTGTAGTCAGAAAACCATGATTTGTCCTGGAAAGCTCTCACTTAACTGTTTGTGTGCAGAGCTGTCTAACTTCCAGCTCAGCACAGCCCTTACCCCAAAGGTCAGGCAGTGCTGGCATGCCACCGTGCCAGCCTGAACAAGCCTATTTAATGCCCATCATGTGTTCCTCCAAAAAAGACACCGAATTCCCAGCCAGGTCACCCGACCCCCGCTGGGCACCTTGCCTCCTGGCAATCCCATCC